ATATATATTTATTTGTAATTAAATTCTGTCCTATGAAGCAACTTAAAATATTATTTCCTTAATTCTTTTAGAGAGGGACAGAAATTAATTGATTTGTTTTTCAAAAAGTATTTTTAGAAATACATTTTGAAATAATAATTAAAATAACTATTTTAATTCTATTGTATTTACAATGCAAGAGTATTTAATTACAAAATAGAAATAATTTTTAACGTTTAATACATTTTCAAAATATAATTAAAAATAAATTAAAATTAAATCAGCATTTTATTATTCATATTTTAATTCATTTAATGAAACTACACATATATTTAAATTGCTAAATAATTTATTGCATTAAAAAAAATAAAAACTATTTCTAAACTTTAAATTAAAATCAAAATAAAAATAATTTCCGTTAAATATTTGTAATTTTAAAACATTTTACACATCATTAACCCAAATAAATCAGTTGGCGGAAAATAATAGGATTTCGGTAAAAGCGCAAAAATATTCACTTAACACGATCGTCTTCATATATTGGATTCGAGCGCTGATCAGTCTTACATATTTCGTACTTAATATTGGTGATATAAGCCATTCAAGTGGAACTAATTCCAACAACAGCAATGCTCATTATTTTCCAATTACTTCCAGTTTAGTTCAATGTTTTTGTAAAAATGATTTCAATTTATTTATTAATTTTTATTAAAATAAATAGCAATTTCAAAAAAATACTCGTAAATACCATATATGGTATACGTGACCTCTTTGAAGATTGCGGAACCAATCTGATACAAATTAGTAATGTAAATGTGATTTCAATGACTAAGTAACGAATAACCATTAGTCTTGAAAATCTAGAACACAATAATTTATTTATTTTTTAATTTAAAATCGTGAGTTCTTACTCAACATTTTTCTGTGTTTCTTTGACAGAACTTTAACAGAAAATTTAACGTCGAATTTCCATCTAGAGAGGTATGGACGTCAGGTGGTCCTTTCTTAGATGAGGGCTTAACCATTTTCACTGATGGATCCAGCACAATTAGTGGTGCAGACCATGGAGTTTTCTCAGAGGAATTGAACAAATCTTTCTACTTTAGGCTTCCAGATTGTAGTGTAGTGTCTTTCAGGTGGAAGTGATCGTCATTAGGGAATCTATAGCTTGTTCGAATGTAGATGATATATTAGGCAGGAATATATATATACTATCAGACAGTCAAGCTGCTTTAAAGTCCTTGAGTTCAGTCCAATTTACATCTAGGACGGTTTTTGACTGCTACACATCTCTAAACGAAATGTCGACGCAGCTCAATATTTCTTTAATCTGGGTTCCCAGGCATACGGATATTTTCGACAATTGCAGGACAGACGAGCTAGCCAGAAAGGGCTTGAAACACTTAGATAATCTGAGCATATTGCTAACATCTTGTAAATTATTACTGAGCTCTTTTTGTGCAAAAATTTTTTAACAAAAGATGGGAAGACTCAGCGATATGCAGACATCTGTACGCAATGTGGCCACTTTCCGATAAAAGGAAATCTAAAATTCTCATTGAGATGCCCCATAGAGACGTCGATCTTTTGGTTGGTTTACTTACAGGCCACTGTAAACTAGGGAACCATGCTAGAAGATTGGGCCTTCCCTTCAATCAAATCTATCGTAGCTTTGGCGAAGACTATGAGAGTGTCTCTCATATACTGTGTTTTTGCCCAGCTAATGCACGGCGGCGACTTAGCATTTGGAGAATCCCCTTTGTTGAGGACCTGGACCAGTTACAGGACCTGACACTAAATAGCATTTTATGCTTCGCCAAAGGTTTTAGGTGGTTTTCAACTCTTAGTTTTTCTCCTATATATACGGTAACACAATGGGCCATTAGGCCAAAGTGGATCCACTAGAGATCGCCGGTATAACCTAACCTAACCTTACCCTATAACATCCATTAATTACTCTACTGATATATCATAGGTATACTTTAAAGCTTACTGTGATTTAATTATATTGCACTTTCACCAAACCTACCTTGTCATAAGTCGTGAGCGCGTAACATTTAGTTCTAGTTCTAGTTAGTGGGCCAAAAAACCCACTTTCCTAAAAATCTGATTCTTCTAGAGGCTAGAGCTGAGTATTCATGGAGAAAATACTTAATTGTTTCTTTATTCCTGTCAGTTTTCACAACTTTTATAACAAGTATTACAAAGAATGCGCAGCTTTTCTGTGTGGGTGTATAAAACCAGTGAAGAGACAGGACTGTAGTAAGCTTTTCAGTATTCACGCGATCCCTTTTTTCAGGTTCCCAAGATCTGATCTTGTTATATGAGGCCATGTTAATCGGGCTCTTCTTCTTCAGATACAAAAGAACTCAGCCAAATTCTATTTAAGCTTTTCAGCAATCTTTGAACTATACTAAGCTCATCTAATGACATCAAAAGTCATTCTATGCCCCATTTAATAAAAATCATTTATAATACACACAGTGTTACTTTTCTTTTGTATTTTTATGATAACCTTTTCGCCACGTTTCAATCTTAGCAGCCTTTCTTACAAGTTCTTGCTAGTCTGCGTCTCAGATCCCTTCGAATAACTCGCCCTATACTTCGATGAGTGGTATTCTGATACCTCCATCATGTTCTATAACTGTGGCATAATGTTATAGAGAGTTCCTCTATAAGTCTGCAATCAGGATGCAGCCTCCACAGCTAACCTACTTTCAAACTTGCGCAATAACACTATTTCTCAGTATTAACCCTCTTTGTTTCAATTCTCCTCCATTAATTACTGCAATAAAGTTTTGCACAGTGCTCTTCGGATCAGTGGTGATTATCTTTATCACTTTTCATTCCTAAGAGTTGGTTTTTGTAGGTTAAGGTCTTATAATGTAATCATAAATCCGTTTTTATTTATTTACTAATTTGTAGTGTACTTAGGTACATGAAGTGTAATTAATTTTGAGGGTACCTATAAAAATCCCAATATGCGTCGCCTCATTAGGGCGCATATATTTCAATGTTAAAGCTTAAAAACTTTAATTAAAATAATTAAAAATGTGTAATTATTTGTTATTTATAAATATTGATTTGCTGTTCTCATTTATTAGCTTTTAATTAAGCTCTAAAAGCATTAATTGTTTTAATTATATGAAGCATGAAATTATTTATGACAGCCAAAAATTTAAGTATGTGTGCATTAAAATTCAACACAAGTGTATTAATTACATTAATTGAGTACTGAAAATTGATATTCAAATGAAGTTGTCCCAAACCAGCAACAACAGCAACAACAACACAACAGCAGACGGCCGATTGCCGACTTTGTAGTGCGTCATGTATTTCTCTCTTTCATGTCAAATTAATACATAAACCCCAACACACAAAATCAACGCACGTCAGAAAAGAATCAGAATTGAAAAAAAAAAATAAAAAAGATACTAAATATTAAGAAAAAATATAAAGCAAGAACAAAAAATCAAAGAGCACATGTAATCAGGCTTTAACTGACAAAAGAGCGAAATTGCTAACCTTTGTAAACGAACCCCACCCAACGTACGTCCAGGCAAGAGTCATAAAGCAAATTAAATCACAAACTTACAACTAATCAAGAGAGCAAGCAACCTTACATTACAACTGAGCACGGCTGCAAAGGAGGCAAACAAATTAAGCCAACATAAAAATCGTTGAGCAAAAAAAAAACAACAAAGAAAACAAAATAAAAACAAACAACACTTAAACAAAAGAGAGCGCAAACGACATATCAACTAAGAAAACAAACAAAATCAAAGTAAATTAAGTAAACAAATCAACAAAAAACATTTTTACTCCTTACGCTAAGCCATTTTCCCAACCAATGCGAGAAAGGGATAAGTGTTATTACAGAACAGTGCAACTATAAGTTAACCACTCCTACTTCATTGTATATAAGACACACACACTTCTATAGTACTCTGCTATGTGCATTGCGTGCAAAAGAGAGGCAAATAATTGCAACAGAGCTGTCAACTGACTTGACAGCTGCTCACATAATAAAGTCATATTCTACCCTAACAAGGCACAGTGTACTTTGTTTTTGTTATAACTATCATAGTTTTCTTTTTGTTGTTGTTGTTGTTGTTGTGTGTTTGAAAAACCGGTTTTATGCCATAGTTTACTGTGGCTGATTCTGCGCCCAGTCAATTTTCTCATACAATCACAATACAGCTTGGCAAATATCAATTTCAATTCTTTGCTGGCTCAGTGGTTTGTTGAGTTGCTGTCAGATTACAGGTGACATTTGTGAGTGTCACATCGTCAGTAAAATCGTCTTATACATACGACTCGTTAGTTTGCAAATCAAGCACAGTCGCCACACTGCCAGCATATAAGCCTCGTACAATTATGGACGGAAATTCGGAACTGTAATTTGTTTGTTAGTTCAGTCAACATCCGTCATTGTAATCGATCACAACGTATTGCTGTCAGTCAGTCAGTTATATTAGTTGATCATACATCGAGTTACTCACACACATCGGCTTGCCTGCTTATTATTTGTGCACGCTGTTGTCTCTGTCTAATTGCGTACTTGAGTTTGTGTGTGTATGCTCGTTCGTTGGTGGTTTAACAGTTCAATTTCGAGACTACTTGCCTCAGTGAGACGATAAGCAGCTATGATTAGTTAATTTACTCGTTGCGTTCGCAGTGAACAGACGTGTGCGTCGCAGTCGTTAGTGAGTACCAAGCATAAGAAAGTAACGAATAATTTAATTAAGCAATCACTAAAACAAACCATAACAAAAAATAAAACAAATATTTAAATAAAAAATTTTTAATTTATAAATAGAGTTAACAAAATAATTAATAGTATTGTTTTGTGAAAAAATTAATCGTGCAGTGAAATTTAAAAAAAAAAAATTATAATAATTTAATCATAAACAACATTAAAAACGTTTAGTGACGAGTGTGCAAATAAACAAAGAACAAAAAAAAAACAGTTTTCGTACACAAATTAAAAATAAAAAAAAATTATTTTCACTGCAATACAAATGGCCTTAGAGGATCGCTGCAGTCCACAATCAGCACCGAGTCCACCAGGTTTACCGCAGTCCCCACATTATCAAACCGGCGCTACAATACTTGATATGAGCTTGCATCAACCCGTTACACAGAGTCCAACACATACAACCAACATGTTACCACATCCCGCCGCAAGCCTCTATCAACAACAACAACTACAACATTTGCATCACCTACAACAATTACAACAACTACATCAACAACAATTGGCAAATGCCGCAGGCGTAGCCTTTCAACATCCAGGCTTCGAAGCGGCTAACCATGCGGCAGCGTTACAACAACGTCTTGCCGCTTCACCTGGCGGTCATTCAGCAGCTTCCACACCCACCTCAACTGTTACAATCAAAGAAGAAGAAAGTGATTCTATAATGGGTGACAGCTTTAATGGTGAACATGAACATATGTTAAATACCGCCGGCACTGCAACCGAAGATGAGGATGATGACATTGATGTGGATGATGTTGATGATATGCATACAAATGCTAACGCTGCCCGACTACCACCGCCGGCACATCAACAATCCGTGAAACCAACTTTGGCTTTTTCGATTTCCAATATTTTAAGTGATCGTTTTGGCGGCACTGAGGGTGCCAAATTGTTGCCAAAACAGACGAATCTCAACAGTTCGAGTATCTTTCGACCCTTTGAAGCTGCACGCGCCGCTACAGCTACACCTTCCGCCTTTACACGTGTCGATCTATTGGAATTTAGTCGACAGCAGCAAGCAGCAGCTGCTGCTGCCACCGCAGCTATGATGATTGAACGTGCTAATTTCTTGAATTGCTTTAATCCTGCTGCCTATCCTCGCATACATGAAGAAATTGTGAATAGTCGTATGCGTCGTAACGGTGTCATTCCTCCAAACAGCGGTAAGAATATTGAGCCAAATATGGAGAAATCAGCTTTGGGTTCACTTTGTAAGGCCGTCTCACAAATTGGTCAATCTGTGCCCACTCCAGCTACATCTGCAAATTCCAATGTATCCGCTGCTACAACATGTATATCCAGTCCGCCACCTGCATCGAATGCTTCAACTATCTCAACTGCTTCATCAAGTACTTCCGCTGTTAGTTCCTTGAACTCATCGCCTACAAGTCGTTTGCCAAGCAAAAGTAGCAGTCCACAACCTATACCACCGCCATCGGCTGTTAGTCGAGATTCTGGCATGGAGTCATCAGATGACACACGCTCTGAGACTGGTTCGACTACAACAGAAGGTGGCAAAAATGAAATGTGGCCAGCGTGGGTGTACTGCACGCGTTACAGTGATCGGCCAAGTTCTGGTAAGTTAATAAACTATAATCCTTTTTTTTATTTATGATTACATATATAATAAGTCAATATAATTATGTTAAATATGCTTGAATAAAGTTTTCATCGGAAGAGTTCTAAATTCAAGAAATATCAATAAACGAAAAGAAGTAGTATAGATAGAAAGGGGTTTCTATTTTTAGTATTAACATTGATAAATAATGTGATCTCTTAAAAGACCAACTTCTTTATATTCCAATATGATTAGATTTAATGCTATTGTGTAAGACTTTCATTAAAAGATGATTCCAATAAATAGGTTGATGCAAGAAACGAAAGAAATCGTACGAATAGGAAGTAAGTGGGGTCTATTAGAAGTATTTGCAACAGAAAAATACTATCGAACAAAAAATTAAGAAACTAAAATTGCTTCAATATAATATAGGAAATTCTAAAAATCAACTAAACAAATAGGTTTTTAATAATCCATAACTTTATAATCTAGAGGTTATATGTATAGTTTACTATATTCAGAATATTTTATTATTTTAGTCAGTTATCGCATTTGTAAGAAATCACAAGTTCAGTCCTTTTGTGGCATTGGGTAAAATCTACGTAATCCTCAAAATCACATAATCACATAAATTTTATATATCTTATTATAACACATAGTAGTCATTTATCTCATAAGTATAAAATTTCTATCAGTCTTCTTTTGTGTTTGGGTATAATCTAGGAAATGCTAAATATCAGATAAACAAATATATTGTATATATTGTTTATGTTCTCGAGATAATGAGATCAAAGAAGTTTATTATTTCTTGCCGATATCTAAAGGGTGTAATTATTTCTAATATATATATGTTAAGAACTTTTAAGTAATCAATGAATTCAATCCTTTTACAACATTTTTTATCGTTAAGTGTTCGCCTTACTTCAAGGCTTCTTCTTCCTTCAGATAGGACCTCCAACATACCAGTCGGTATTTTTCAAATAATTTTCTCTTCTAATCAGTCTTTTATGGTGTAAACTACTTAAATTCATTTTTTATTGATTATAAACAAAAAAGAAAAGAATTGCTGGGATATTCTTCTATAAACTGACTTAAATTTGAAGGACACACAAACAATTACAAAGTCATAAATAATGAAAGGAAGAAACATACAAAACTGTTTAAGGACTTTCGATTGCGGTGCATGACTGAAATTTATACGACACATGCAGTGTTGGTGTTGTTCTCCTGCCGGAGGAATTATCTTTGATGCCGACATACTCGTATTAAATGTCACAACAGCAGCTAAAACAACAACAGCAGGAACAATAAGAACAAGGACAATCTGTGAGATAGTAACTATCCATAACAGTTATTATATATAAACAATAACAGAAAAAATTGACCAAAAAAATAAATTATAAAAAAAATTAAAATAAAAAATTGTAAGGTCATTTTGAAACGAACGATTGAACTTATACTATGTATATGACTTATGAAAAGGACAAGTAAAGAAGAAGCATAACCGAGCAGAAGAAATCTGTGTAGTAAGATTTGGTTCGTCTAAAATACCGACACGTGCGTCATTTCAAGGGAACACAGGGAACACTCAACAAACGCTGTGTGTGTTCCCCCCAAGATAAGTAACGGAGAATTCGTCTAAGCAGCGTTAAAGTAGCGCCGCGCATTTATCTACTATTTATTGTGGATGAATGGCTGTGATACAGATCCATTTAGATTCGTTTCCACTAGTTGTTATTGGGTTAGATGTACTTTTTTCGTGGTGTTAATTGATGAGTTAAGTGCATTTTTATGACTTTGAATGGGTTTTTAATTTAGTGCTGATCGACTTATGAGGCAAGCCACTTTCACAATTGTGTCTTTAGCGCTTCTGATAAGTAGTCACACTTCATCGACGTTCTAAACAATTTCAACTAATAATAATATATAAAGTAATACATAAAGTATTAAGTACAAGTAAAAAAAAGTCAAAATTAAATAAAAAATTTCCAAAATTAATTATTGTGAAGTCAATAATAATAATTTATTGCGTGATTAATGTTTTTTTGTTCTTTTTTTTAATGAATGCCAAATCAACGTAATTTTTAATTAATTTTAAATAGTATTATAATTTATAAATTAAACAATAATAAATGAAACATCAATAACACAATGGAAAGAAAAACATATACTAAATTAAAATTTCCGACTTTTTTACAAAACTCTAAACAAACCAATTAAACTGACTAATAGTTTATAGTTGTTGACGAGTAGTTTCAAAATTATAACTAATTAAATTGCAATTGACTAAGAAAAAAATAATTGCATTCATTTATTAAGACATTTTCTACTATTATATTTGCTTATTAATATTAAATTATAGCCTCCGGAGTAATAGAGTAATACAATAATTACAACATCGTGTGAATTACAGGGGAAAAAATATTACTAACGAGTACATGCAACGAGTAATAGCAATTGCAAAAAGAAAATTAAACATTTATATTGTATTTATTTACCATTTACGAGTAAATGGATGAAAACCACAAATTGAAACCCATTTTTCATTATTCTATTATATATTCAGGAAATAATCGCTACTATTTTATAGTTATTTTGTTGTTAAATTTATGTGTTGATTAAAGAGGTCAGAAAACTTAGGTAGTAATTTCTAAAACCTTTTTGGTAGCTGAATTTAAGGGGATAAAGCTTTTATATCATATTAGTATTAGTAGAATATTATCTGATAAAAATAAATGATATATAAAATGAAAATGATTGTAAACGACTAAATTTTGTTGTCTCTTCTGTATTTCTAACAATTAGTACAGGAATTTTTTTTCCTATGGTGTAGTAGGAAGATATTTTTCCCATACTAAGAACTCTCCGCATATTAAATGCTCGAAAAGAATAATTAAACAACAAAATATACTTTTATTGATAAAGTCAAATATGGTTAGGTTAAACCCCAATTTTTTATCAATCATGACTTCCTTAATTTCTATAATAAGGATATGTTAAGGGTATATGGCACTGCGACCATCAAGTCTATTGTGCCCCTATATGTATTTATAAAACTTAAAAATTTCTTATTTAAAAACGTTATAAGATTATTTTTGCAAGCGTTTTAAAAGAATTAATAAAAATTAAGAAGTTATGAAATATTTTTAAAAGTATATTTTGAAATTAATAGCTATTGATAGAATATTTGAATAATAAAATATCTATAATGGCTGATATTTAAAAAAAAAAAAAAATAAGGGTACAAAACTAAAAAAATAAAATACTATGTATTTTATTGCATATAATATTACAATTATATACTATACATTACTTAAAATTATTATCTGTTAATTAATAATATGTATTACATATATGAACATTTATACATAATATTCTATTGCTAGATTTTTAGAATATTACGTAAATGATTAAATTAATATGTATTTTCTAAATAGTTACTTAATTGTTTACTTATATTCTTAGCGCATAATTGAAAACTTTTTTATCTATAAAATTAGGAAGTAACATATAAATAAAAGTACTAATTTTATTTACTAATAAGTATTTCCTCAGTAATTTATTCGTAGATTAATTTTATTTACATGTATATATTTTTAAATACTTTTTTATTTTTATATATTTATAAGTATTAACTTAATAATATATTTTTAGATTAATAATATTTTTATAAATATTTTTGAATACACTGTTTTATTTTTATATATCTATAAGCATTATTCAATAATATATTTTTAAACTTCTTTTATTTTTTGTAAATATTTTTGAATACACTGTTTTATTTTTATCATTTATTTTTTAAATTTAAGGTAGTTTATTATTTCAACATTTTATAATTATACTGTATATCTATTAATCGAAAAATAGATGAATAACTTATATAGGGTATGTTAACTGTTATACATAAACATTTTAACTTAAAACTTAAATTTCAATATAATATAATATTTATTTTTTCTTATCTTATATTTATATTTTAATTTTAAGGTAGTTTATTATTTCAACATTTTATGACATATACTATATATCTATTAATCGAAAAATAGATGAATAACTTATATAGGGTATGTTAATTGTTATACATAAACATTTTAACATAAAACTTAATATTCAATATAAAATAATATTTATTTTTTCTTATCTTATATTTATATTTTAATTTTAAAATAATTTATTTGATATAACATTGTAAAAAAGATATAAATAACATAAATAGTACAAATATGATAATTGTTATATATATTATATTGATGTATAATATAAATAATGATAAATACGGTATATGGTACATATGTTTTCATACGCATATAATATAAATAAAAATATAATTAAAAAATTTTAAAAATTATTTTATAAATTTTTGAATTTCGAAATATCAAAATTAATTTATTGTTTAAAAAAAATTTAACGTTTATAAACGACAAAATTGTAAGCAATTTAATAAAAACTTGTTTGAAAGTAAATATTTCATTAAAAAATTATGTAAAAAAATGAAATATTTTCTTTTTCAAGTGAAATAATTATTTATGGAGTGTAATAATTTTGATAAAATTCAAAAAAAAAAAAAATAATAAATTGTTTTAATGATATAATTAAGTAACTGAAATTCCTCAAAAACTTGACAAGTGAAGTTGCAACGTACGACCATTTTTGGGAACGGTTGATTTTAAATATTAAAACTGTACAAATTAAATATCAAAAATATTGTTGATTTATACATAACATTAAAAAAAAAATACTCAAATAAAATTTAATAAATAGAGAAGAAAATATAAATAAAAAACACTTTTCATTTAAATGATCAGAAAATTTTGCTATGAAATGCAACGAAACCAGACCAAATCGAACCACTCTGAGTGATAGACCAACCAAAAGCAATTCGGTCAGCCGAAATAAAAGGCACATTAATTAACAATATTACGAATTAACAAGCGTCAAGTAAAGCCACGCAAGGCCCGACATACCACAGTAGAGAGCACCACGGCAGGCATGCCTTAACAAAACAGAAAAAAACAACAACAACCCTGGTCCGTGTGTCCGCCATATTCTCCCGTTTATTAGCTGCTATGAAAATTTTGACAGCTGACAAATTAGTTGTGGCGTTTCAACCTGTATTCTGCGCTGTCTTTCGCTGTACTTTTAATAAGATTTCTGTGCCTATAAAATTTTATTAAAATATTTCTTTTTTCCTTGTTTTTAATAGCAACAGAAAAAAATGCTTTAATACACAGAAAAAAATGCTAATTAAATCATTAGTTTAATTAATTAGCATAAATGTGGAAAATAGTTTTTTCATACTACGTTTAGCTACTTTGATAAATTTGACGCGTTGCAAATGTCAAATGCTTAAATAAATATTAATAAATCAAATGTGCAGATAAAGAGTAAAATACAAAGAACACAAAAACAATAAAGAATATAAAAAATATATATAATAAACTACGTTATTTATATTTAAAAAAAAACGCAAATTAATAGAAGAAAATGTCGTCGCTGTCTTTGTTGTTGATTTGCAGACTTAATTAAAATACAAAAGCTGTGAAAAGGCGTTGCAAAAACAAAAGAAATAAAGAAAAATCATGAAATAAAATAAATGTTTTATTATGTATATTTCATATACAATACAATATATGCACATAGAGCTGCATTTATTACTGTATACATTTTAAATTATTTTAATATAATGTTTTTTCTTTCGTACTGTACAAATGGGCTTGCACCAAGTTGACAACTGACATGGTGGGAGTGAAAATGTTTAATTAAATAAAAGTTGAAAGCGAAATGAAAGTGGCATGAAAATAAGAGAAACAATTTAAAATTGATATGTATGTAAATATTTATATATATGAATGTCATGAAAAACTTTATAAGTATATACTAAATGAATAAAATATTTAATATTTTATTTAATAAAATCCTTGCTTTCAAATATTTTCCGTTTAAATTAAATAAAATCTGCCCTTAAAACTCAAGAGTGTAATCAAAATTAAATATATAAATAGCGTTCAATTTTATAAAAATGGGATAATCATTTTATTAAATAATTACTTAAGGTCAGTTATTTTAAAAATTAGTTGTAAATTTATTTTGTAATTTTTAAAATAAAATTCCTTGCCTTCAAATATTTTCTGTCTAATTAAAATAAATCTGTCTTTAACTCAAAATGACTTAAGATTATGAAAATCACATTTAATTAATTTTATTAAAATTAAAAAATAATATCAATTATATTTTAAATAATAATTTAAAATTTTTTATTATTAATAACTTTTAAATTATGTTTTTGTAATAATTTTTATTATGTTCTTTCTTTCAGGACCCCGTTACCGACGCCCCAAGCAACCAAAAGACAAAAATAATGATGAAAAACGACCGCGTACCGCCTTCTCCAGTGAACAATTAGCGCGTTTAAAAGTAAGTACCAAATATTAAAATAATATATTATTACAGATCTAATAACTGCTACAAAAATATTCAGAGTAAAAATTAAAAATTCCAAAAATATAGTATTTAACAAAAACAGTGAAGATTTATTTTAAAAATATATGCCGAAGCAGCTATACACAGACACACAGTACCTTAATTGGTTCACTTGGTTTGGTATATTATTTGATTTCTTTAAAAATTCCAAAATAAAAACAGAGCAAAGAATAATTACAACAATTTATGACAAGTTTAGTAAAGCGATTCCTGGCATATAACCATTTTTGTATACATATATTCGTTTTAAATATCATTTCTTAATTGACTTTTCACAATACTCTATTCTACTTAATATATCATCTTAGGCTGCTTTAAATTCTTGAAGTGAAGAACATAATTCGCTATTAAAGTTGTATATGTCTATAGTATCAATATTCTCTTTATACATTTAATATGAGTATCATATTTGGTTTTTCTAACTTCTTGAAGTTCAAACACATTATTTACTTTTCAACTTCGCACAATTCTTTATTATGATGCACTCTATACGTATGAGCATTACTATCGTCAACTTGGTTTATAACTGAATCGCTTCAACTTCTTCCAAGAGTGTATGTTTCTTCAGCCTCACATACAATAGTATGGTGCTTCATAATTTTTTATCATCTTTCTCCTCTATATACTTATAGACTTTAGTCTAGTACTTGACGACAAATTTCTTAAGATGGTGTCCTTAAAATATGTCCTATCATTCCCTATTGCGGCTGGTGTTTATGTGGTGTATTATTTTCCTGTTGCATTGTTGGAACAATTGAAGTATGCTGTCTTTTCTTTTTTGATTATCAAATTTTTAATAAGAGTATTCACACAAGTAATTATTATCAAAATGCGGACGTGTTAACGGGAAAATTTTTGGTTTGTAGCGTGCGAAGCAATGCTCATCGACAATCACTAAGGAATTACACAAACAACTCCTGTTTAAATTTTGAGAATAAAGATAAAAACAATACTACCAAATATCAATTGTGTTTTAGAGATGCAAAATATTGAATATAGTGATATTAATTGATGTTTCTTGTATATATTGTTGCTTGACACTTTTAATAGATTTCCGTGACAACCAATGAATTGAAACCTATAAATTTCTTCAATTATATGTTAACATATAACTGATATAATAATTATAGCATAACCAATTTATTGTTATTATTATTATATTGGCATATTATTAAACCTACTACGCTTTCTCAAAATCTTAGTGGGCTTATTGCTTGATTTTGATAGATTCCTGTGCCAACTTATGTATAAAATAATATATTTGTTATTAAAACAATCTGTGTTGTAAAGCATTCTCTACAACATCTTTGGCAAAATGCTAATAAATACTTTTTAATTACTGAATCAGTTTGTTATTTCTTTATTTTAATTTCAGTTGAAAGTACATATTTTTAATAAACATGTCAAAACATCACATCTGAAAACAATTTTAATTTTAATTTTTTTTTTATTATCTTGTTTTCCAAATATCATAAAAAGTAAACTAAATGTTTTCTCTTACATACATCAATTTATTTTTGAAGGAAGTATCTTTTATGACAACAACTACATTTTAAATATTTTTAAGTGCCAATAAAACGATAGGAGTCAAAAAATCCCACCTCCATAAATGCCACAATATTTACACTCATTTCGTCTGCCACCCGTCGTTTTGCTTTGTGATTTTTTAAGATTTTGATCCTCTTTTGCGTAGCATTCAATATAGAGAGTCTTCTTTTCCTTCCTTCTTCTCATATAAGAAACCACAATTTCTTACTATTTCGCCTATCTTCGAATCTATGATGTGTGTCTCAACAACATATCAGTAACATGCATCCAATTTGGGAATTAGTTATGGTCATATATTCTAGCCTCTTTTCAATTCCTAACCTGACATTATCCTTTCTTTCATTTTAACCGCAAATAATTGATTCTTTCTGCATATTTTTCATACCAAAATAAAAACAAAAAAAAGATAAATAATAAGAAAAAAAAACTAAAATCTTTTCCTTTCTTTTCTCTACTTGCAGCGTGAGTTCAATGAAAATCGTTACCTCACCGAGCGTCGACGCCAACAGTTGAGCTCAGAATTGGGCTTGAATGAAGCGCAAATAAAAATTTGGTTCCAGAACAAACGTGCTAAAATTAAAAAATCCACAGGATCAAAGAATCCTTTAGCATTACAATTGATGGCACAGGGTCTATACAATCACACTACTGTACCACTGACAAAGGAAGAAGAAGAGCTGGAAATGCGTATGAATGGACAAATTCCTTAAGGTGTGAAGAATATAAATGGGTGGTTCCAGTAAGCTTCCAGCTTTTCGCGTTATACTGCGGAGCAACATTTTTGTGCAATAAATAATTGAAGAAAAAAAGTATTTTTTTTTTTTTGAAAAGCCGTAGAGTTCAAGTTTCTTGTTGTTTCAAAATTTTTTGATCGAAATAAATAATTTACAACAACAAAACGAACAAATTATCATGTGATATAAATGTAAAGTGCGTATGTCATTTCATTTACTTTTTCCTATTATTATTTTTTTTATTTTGAATTAATTGTAAATAAATTACTTTACCTCTCACCTAGTTTTTTTTTTATTATATCTCTTGTATATAATTAAATTCACTCTATAACTAATAATCAAGCTGCGCTTTCTCCTCTTCAAATACTTGTAAATATTTTATGTATATTTATTTAACTCTATTGAAATTGCTTAATGCATTGCAAATTAAAAAAAAAAATAATGAATCAAATATAAAAATAAGAAAAATGTTCAAAGTATTATTAACAACTTCAAAATTATATTTGTATTATATATATATATACTTTTCCTATAGATATTTATGAAAATTATTATAGTTTTTAATTTTATTTATAAATTAAAAATTAATTTAAATTAATTTTAATTTAAATTTTAATTTTAGTTTTAAGTGAAACCTATTTTGTATTATTTAAGACGTTTAGCTACAAGAGTTATGTATATACATAAACATATACATATATATTAATTATATATATTGTTTTAGCTTTTTAGCTTTTAAATTTATTTATGAAAAAAAAACTGATATGAAATATTAAAAAATAAAAATTTAATTAAAAATCAAAAATAAAGTGTTTCATGCAAATGCAAATAATATATAAATTATTGTTTTTAATTTCTTGTTTTTACAAATGGAGTTTCCTCTTGTTTAGGTTTTTACGGGCTCTCTCTCTCTTTATAATGGAATTGTCTAGGTAAGAATTGACATTGAATAGCAATACGCTTTGATTTGACGTTTAAAAAATGCTTAATTTATTTATATACTATGATATATACATTACAAATTTAAAAAAAAATCCCGTAATCATGTTTTGAAGAAGATATGGTATATTGGTGTTATAGGTTATGTTAGACCTAACCTACTACTTTAAGAACAACGCTGTTATATAGAGTGTTACGGGCACATCATAAGCAAGGTTGCCACATATGGTACTTTACTATCAAAATTGGTACTTTTTTTTTCGTTTAGTACTCATGTTTAAACAATGGTACATTTTTGACGACCCAACTTTATTATGGATATTTCTAATTAATTTTTTTTATAAATGCAACTTTGCACTATTTTATATTTTGTTCATTTATAACACTATGAAAAACACAGAACGAAAAAATAAAAAGGTCGGAAAAAAATTTTGGACCTTTTTTTACAGAAATGGTACCTTTTTAAACCAATTTTGGTACAGGAAAAAATTTTCAAGTGGCAACCGTGGTCATAAGCTGTGCAACAGTAATAGAGTTGAGAGAAAAAGCAATATGTCAGATCAAATTCCGTCATAAAAGCCGGGGCTATCTGTACGTCGACACTTGCCATACCTGTGACCACGGTGGACACATGCGGTACTTTAGTACTAAAATTGGTATTTTTTTCAATGTGGTACTCTAGAACTCATTCTTATGAAATGGTATTTTTTTAAGCGCCAACTTTATTATGCATATATATTGTACAAGTATTTCCATGTCTAAATAGCATATATAAATGCTGAGTTTTCAATTAAGGCTTCCATAGTCTTAAAGTCTATAAATAAAGTAATTAAAAATAATAAAAAGGCCCTTTAGGAAACATGGATAAGAAATTGAATTTAATTATAAGTATATTAACAGATATATCATATAGTCACATCACTACATAGGTTTCTATGTAAAGGAAAACCAGCCGATAATAGTGGTAATGTATGGGATGCTGCAACGCTATTTTTACAGATAGCGGTGGCAGTGACCAGAAGTAAATAAAAATTTATGTATGTATATATATAATTAAAACTAATATAATTTTAGGTGTTGATTTAGTACAAATATTGCGGGTGCAAAAGATAAAAGAAAATTTCAATCAGAATGGATTTTAAGAACTGAAATAACACTATGTTACGCAAAGAACTATTTCATAAAAGAGATAAGCACTATGTATGGTCAGCAAAAGATAGTCCGATTATATAAATAATAAAATGGTTATAGATAAAAAGACTTGTACTGTTTTATATCTTCTGTACATTTTACATATATTGGATTTTCTTATTTAAAGATAATAGAGAAAAATTTGATCTTCTTTTACGGAAATGGTACCTTCATGAACCAATTATGGTACAGAAAAAAATTGTCAAGTGGCAACCGTGCGTGCCCATGACACTTTAAATAACATGGCCCTTATTTGCATAAACTTCAAAAAGATATATCGGTGTTATAATTGACAGAAGTTAATATATGTTGAGATACCAGTCATAATAGACAAACGCACTATCCAAATAAGAATTTTCTAAACAAGGATAATAAAAAACAGCTAAGGATGTTTTTTCTTCCAATATATAGCCAGTGTTAAAAGTAGACCACCAGCGAATTAAGGACGTCGTAAATATTCCATATGAATTATTTATATCAAACTCAAATTCAACATTTATGATTAGAACATGACTTTTTTATATCAAGATTTGAATTAAACAGTTTGAGAATTATATATTTGTTTAGAATATTTTAGAATATATTTATATACTTTTGTTTGGAGTTTTATATCAACTATAGGTGGCAAGCATTGCAAATCATTGTCCTGAAATTGCCCAAAAGTCGGTACTGCGGGCAAAAGAGTCCTATTGTACCGAAATTCATGCACATAGTTTTTACCAATTATTTTAAATAGATATTTTAAGGGGTGCAGGGGATATAATGTGCAATACTTTGGTTACACCTATTGATATACAACATGTTGTACTTAATTTTAGCATAATAGCAAGTTTATTTTAGCGTAAAAATACTTTATTTTTAATTTATAAAAACCTTATATTAAAATAAGTATTGATAATTTTTTTCTATCTCATGCTTTAAATTTTTGATAGGAATTATTATGTATTTATTGTAAAACTCTGTTTCTATAAAAAGAACCTATCGCAATCCTGTTTCAAGGTCCGAATTACTTTTAGAGAATTTATAATCTTCATCATATGAATAAATTTTATTTATCTCTATGATTAAAAATGATAAACTTATCACAAAACGGATTAATCACGCATTCAAATAGAATACAACTTCATTTTCTTTTCAAATTATTTTCCGATATTTCGACTACCTGCGGCAGTCATCTTGGGAGTTTCCCATAATTAACATTTGAATTCAAGACAAATGTCGCAAATAGTCGGTGAATATATCGAAACCTTGCAGTCTAGGTTTTTTAAAATTATTCAGATCACAAAAATGTCTGTGACCATTTTTTCCTTGTTCAATACTTTTTTTAATACTTCGTTAATAATACTAGACCCTGTTTTTTAATAATTTTCTTTCTTTCTTTAGTTTTCTACGCAGTAGCACTTCAATATATAATATATGATACCCTAGTAATTCAGCTAAACACATAACACCTGGTAATTTTATTCAATTTGTCTCTGGTTGTGGAGCTCCAGGTTTTTTTGACCAAGATCGTATTTATTGAAAATTTACCATATTTACAAGAAAAAGTTATAGAAAATTTAGTTCTTGATTGATGTTCCTTGCTGCACATTCCCAAAGCATTATTTAAGAACTCAACAGCGTCCATGAGCAATCTTGAATTATTGAATTCACTGGTTTATATGTATGTACTATTAGCCACTCTATAATCTATTATCAACTTCTAGAATTCTTGTTTTCTTTGTATGTATAACTTATAATGTGAAAGAAAAAAATTTTCTGGAAAAAGTTATAGTTCTCATTTTTTTAAATAGATTTGCTGGACAAACAAGTAGTGAACAAAAGCATGCAAAAGATGTGCGTAGTCACCAGCTTAGTACAAGAATGTGTCACAAAGCTCTTAGAATGTACTCATGGAAATGAGGTAACAGTCATATGGGTTGAAGGACACATTGGTATTGAGTAAAACGAAAAGGGAGGTAAACTTGCAAAGTAAGGATCCAGCCATAACTTCTACGGCTCAGGACCCATAATATCATTGGGCTACAATATGACTGCGGCATTTGTCGATAAGCCCGGCACCTAACACCTCACATAAGTATTTTCACTAGTTAAAGATTTTAACAATTTACATTTCTTCATGATTAATGTTTAACTACTTTATTTTGTACTTGCTTCTTGATTTTTTTTTTTTATTTATTTTGAACATTGTGATCTGTTATGGACCTAGAGTATTCTCCTGAATCCAATTTCCTCCATGAATTGTAGTATTGAGTCCACATCACAGAGTTTTAATTTTTCATTAGATATGAGATGTGCAATTAGGTCGTGTTTTGAGGTTATTCAATTTTCTATAAAACCAATTTTAAAAGTAATAGTTTACGTAACCCTATCAGAATTCCTGAAATGATATTTAAAATATGTTTACTTAGTTGCATACAATTCTCCAACTATTTCAGGTTGAAAGTCCCTATAGTGATTTCGATTGTATTAGCTCTGGTGGATTATTCCGGTAAAACTTTCACTGTTTCTATTCTTCTTTCTGGTTTAATGAAATATAGTTACTCCTTCCAAGCCACACAATGGTTCTAGGCCAACAAGCAGCTGCGCCTTTCTAACTTTGGGTGCAGCTTCGAATAACTACAATATCAACAACAGATCTATCTAATAGTAGTTAGAACAAGAAGAAAGTTGTTGTTATAATTGTAAGGGACTATTACATTATCTACAGTGAAGTAATTGAACAATTATTTTGCATTATTTAAAATGGTTCATTAGAGCATTTAAAATGCTATATTTTTGTTTACAATACATATATGATTTCTAAGAGAATAATGTTTCTACTAGATAAATCTAGTTAGAAACATATGTAAATCTGAA